TCCTGAGCTCCCCAGTCTGATGTGAGGGGAGGACAGCTGATAACTGGATATGCAGTGTTACCAGACATCACTGGGCCTAAGCCATTGCTTCTGCCCGCCACTGCCACGAACACAGTTGGAATGCCATCCCCTAAGGCAACGCAAAGATTATCAACAGGTTAGACATTACAAAGGTGTTATGGTTGGTACCCCCAAAGCCTCATGCATCAGAGGATTTCTTCAGAGGTGGTTATATGAGATTGATTCATAGTGCAATACTGGGACTAAAGGGCAGGGAGGGTAAATGCTGTTTCAGGGCAACTAGTGGGATCAATATTGCCCTAGTCCTGGCAGATGATACAAAAAGGACAGAAAGAGGCGGGTCAGCTTTCTCTTGTTGCTTTTGCTGTCTTCCACAGCTATACACTGTTGCCCTTGTGCTATGTGCCACCTTTCTTTGGAGCCAGCCAATTATGAATTGAAACTTTTGCAAACTGTGAGTTAAATAAACCTTTCCTCCTTTAACTCTTTTTTTTTTTTGGCAGAACCGGGTATTGAATTCAGGCCCTTGCGCTTGCCAGGGAAGCGCTTATTCTACTGAGCCATCTCCCCAGCCCCTCCTTTAACTCTCCCCCTGCTTAACTCTTGACTGTCCGGTATTTTGTCTCAGCAACAAGTAACAGACAAAAGAGTTGCAAGATATGTTTTAAGAAGCCCTTTATGTTTTAAATTCTTGAATAGTGTTCTGTGGAAAAAGCATTAGAAGTTCACTATTATAAATATTTTCAATATATAAGGTCCACCAAAGTGAAGAACAAAACCAGCTGAATGGGTATCTTTTATGCTGAGTGGTCTCTGAAATAGGGTACAAGAAGATTCACTTAACAGTGACTAGAGGTTTAGAGCCCCTACTTGAAACAAGATTTGAAGACAAGTTTAATAGTATACAGGGGCTACTGCAGTAGTTTAGCATGCATAAAGCCCTGGGTTCAATCACCAACACTGACTCCTTCATATTTTTAGACCCCTCATAGTATCTCTAAAGCATTTCATTCTTTGGTAAATTTATAAATTATCTGTTTCCTAAAGCAAAGATTTATAATTTAAAATTTGATATATTTGCACTGCTAAGAGAAGTTCCAGCCTTCATTCATTAGCTTATTAAAAGAGGTTGAGACCCAACCCTTGCCCCCAAACACCTACCTATACTCCTGTAACAATTACCTTCAGAGTATTGTCAGTCCATTTGAAGGTACCTAGCTAGCTGTACACCCAGGCTTTTGGTATTTTAGATCAATGCTATACTTTCCTTATGTGCTGTACTCTGGAGCTGACTTAACTTCATGTGTGACTGCCTCCCAGGCAAGCTGGCCCATTAAAGATCCCCTAGAGGACCTGCTGTTGTAGCCTTGTGCATCCTGTAAATGATATGGGGCTTATTTTGCGTTGGAACAAATTAGAAACAATGCTCAAGGGGGTCCTGATTAGGGAAAGACATCAGAGGTCCTCACACTTCTAATCCATTTCCCTTTATCCTTGTGTCTTCAGTTCTTTTTCCTTGCTACTTTTAGAGCATTTTATGATTTTTGAAGGACATGATCAAGAGTTCAGATCACAGTTTCTCTTTAGAAATATGGAAAAAGCTCTTTTTCAGCAATCTTAGTCTAAAATACATGTTTTGTTTTGTTTTTTTCCCAAAACCAGAAATAGCTGAATTATTCTAGTTATCTGAAGTTTACCTTCATATTCAGCTTTAATCCTCAGAGTTTCATCTGGGCCTTTATGGGCAGATGTTACTCGAAGTTCACAGGGAATCCCGTAATTTCCACAAGCCTTCTTGATTTTTTCACAGTGACCAAGATCAGAAGTTGAGCCCATCAACACTACAACTCTGCACTGGCTTTCTGATTTCAGAAGCAACTAGAAAAGAAGTCATGGATATGAAAAAGAACAAAAAGACAAAAATGAATATAAGCACATTTAAGAACAATCAATTTAGAGTACAGCTTGTAGTAAAATTAATTCAACACAATATTTTCTTTCTTAATATACTAGATTTAAGAACAAACAAAATGGTACGTGACTTTTTTTTTGGCCAGTTCAGCCTGCCCTGAGGGTGGGGCTGGAATGGCATGTGGTGGCAGAGATTGAACCAAGGTCCCCTATGCCTGTCTAAGCAGGTGCTTTAGTCTGATGAGCTAGTTATCTTGCCAGCCTTGGTAGGTGACTTTTATATACCCCCCAACTATTTGTTTTTGTTACCAGGAATTAAACTTATGACCTTGTGCTTGCCAGCCAAGTCTTGTGCCACTGAGCTAAATCCCCAGCCCAACCTCCATATATTTAAAGGAAAGTGGTCTTTATAATGAAACCCTAACCGATAAACAAGACTGTTAGTCAGCTAAGTTTATATTTACTTATCTACAGCCACACCGCACTCAATGTGCTTGATCTTATCTCAGAAGAAGGGTCACACCTGGTTAGTGCTTGGTTGGCAGATAAATTATGTTTACTACCATAACAAACTCCCAACATTTTACATAGCGGCAGAGAAAGGCTAAGGATGTAGCTCAGTGGTAGAGCACAAGCCTCTCACACATGAGGCCCTGGGTTCAATCTCTAGCATCACAAAACCGAAAAATGTTACAGAGAGTTCACCCATTCCATGTTATAGGACTCTAAATGGCAGTGAAGAGGTGGGTAGGAAAGACAGTTTCTCTTGTTGGGGCAGTGCAGAGGCAAGACCCTTGAAGCCAGGGCTGGGGAGGAATGTACTGGTCAGCTCAACAGGGACTTCCACTATACTGGTAAGGATAGTCTATCCAGTATGATTCCTAAAGGGGCTCTTCACTTTCAAAGTCACTGGGGGGAAACAAATTAAAAAGGTAAAAGATAAGCACTATACCTCCATACATTTTATTTTGAAATAAGATTTTTTAGAAGAAAAACCCAACACAGGTTTACTTCAGAAGGATTACCTGTACTCTCTCTGCAACCCATTCAAAGTTCTTCTTTACCATCTGAAGCCCTTCAGGGGTTACTTCCTTGAGGTCACGGTAAGACTAGAAAATGACATGTAAAGTTTAGAAAACAAAGTAATTTTTGCTCTCTGAAATTGGTTTCTGAGTTCTGAGTAGGGATGGTAAGGAGACCTATCTGAAGATGCACCTCAGTCTTCAAATTTATTTTCTGAACTACAGTAAATTAAAATTTTATTTTCATTCAAGGTGAAGTGCTTTTTATGCTATTAAGAATAAAGTAAATCTTGTTTTAATTTTGTTAAGAAATAACAGATACAGGACCAGGTAAGATTTGGAAAACCGGGTATACAAGTTCCAAGTTTACTTACTCTTATTAATTGTGAACACTCAGCCTCTCAGAACCTTAGTTTTAGCTAGTGAAGCAAAGCTATTATTTGCTCTATTATTGTTGTAAGCATCTATGAAGATAATAAAAAGATAATCTGGCTAAATTTTCTATCCTCTGCCCGAATAGCTGGGCTTACAGGCAAGTGCCATATACCTGTGTACTGACTGACCTGTTTGTCTTTCTGCTGGCTTCGATCTCCTGATGGCCAGAGTCTCCAGGAATCATTATCAATAACATCAGCGAGAACAATTTCTTTGGTAGTCACATCAACACCAAATTCAATCTAGAAACAGTATAATACCAAAGAAAAACTTAATAAAACTATACTAATAATGGTATTTCTTAGTTATAATCCTTAATTTCAAACTCCTTTTATCTGTACCTTCATATCAACCAGTGTACAGTTCTGGGGCAACCAGGATTTCTCCAGTATTTCAAAAATGGCTTGTGTAGCATGACTCATGACATCCACTTCAGTTTGGCCTATAACAAGTCCAGCAAAGCAAAATTTTGCAGCAATTAGCTGTTCTTCAGACCACTGTGGATCATTATTAGCATCATCCTGAGAATAAAGTACAGTAGTACAATTAATCTAAATCTGTGAACCTTTCAGAAAAACTGACATCTTCTACACGTAACAGGAAGGTCAAAACACATTCTAATCAATCAAATCTTCCCAAAATTGTTTTTATAACCTCCTGACCTCATTTTTTATAAGGTCTTATAAATTCTTAACATTTCTTTTTGAGACACAATTTGACTATGCAGCTTAGGCTGGCCTTGAACTCAGTATTTAGTTAAAGCTGGCTTAAAACTTGAAGCAGTCCTGCCTTGGCTGCCCAAATACTGGTATTGCACCCATGTGCCACTAAACCCAACAGGAATACAAATCTTTAGCAACATAATTTGATACTTCAAAAGATGTCAAAGAAGGTAGTAAAAATTCGAAATTATTTTAAGAAGTGTCCCAATTTTATATGATTTTTTAATGGAGACAGGGTCTTCCTATGGATCTTGACATATAAGACAAGTTATGCAACGCCCTTTTTAAAAGATGCAAAACTGTCATTGCTTCTCAAGTAGATCTATGCATAGTACTATAAGTCAAGATGAAAAGGGTGAAGTGACTTAAAGATAGCCTCTAAAAATTCTATACTAATTATTCTTACATCCTTATGATACAAACTATTTCTGCTTACAGAGACACTGCTGGTAGTCACATACATTTCACTAATCACTAAGTTAAAAGGTTTCAACTTAATATTTTTTAAAAGACTGATATTGCTAAATTCCCAGGCCAGCCATAAACCTGTTATCTTTCTGCCTCAGCCTCCCAAGTACTAAGATTACTGGCAAGAGGCACCACAGTGGGTTTCAACTGTAAAATAAAAAAAAAAAAAAAAATTATTTTTTTCCGTATTTTAGGGAAGGGTCTACAGGGTATTCAGGGTTTCACTACTACATCGGACTTGTAGTGCACACCACCATGCCATCTCAACTGGAGTCTCAGTGCGCAGCAGGGTGGGGCTGTCACGGCAGGCCCGGGGATCAAACTCCAGGCCAAAATATTACTTTCCTTTCATTTAAATTTGTTCATTTGGGGGGCCTGGCCGTAGCTCAGTCCTTTAAGTGGCTGCTTCCACAAAGCTGTCAGCCTCAGGTTGCTGGAGTTCGAACCTCACACCTCTCCCGCTGGCCAAAAGTGCCCTGAAGGCATTCGAGGAACAAAAAATAAATAAATAAATAAGTAAATAAATTTGTTGATTTCAGGGCCAGAGAGATGGCTCAGTGGAATAAGCGCTTCCCTGGCAAGCGCAAGGGCCTGAATTCAATCCCCGGTTCTTCAAAAAAAAAAAAAAAAAGAGTAAATTCGTTCATTTCAAGGTGGGCTTGGTGGCATATGCCTATAATCCCAACTGTCATGGGGCCTAGATAGGACTGTCACAAGTTCAACACCTGCCTGGGCTACATAGTGAGACCCTATCTCAAACAAAACGAAACAAAACATGTTTATTTTATTAGTCAAGTTTGTCTAAAGGTAAGTATATCTTCAAAATCTCATCTGGGCATGGTGGCCCATGTCTGTAATGCCAGCATTCAGGAGACTGAGTCAGGAGGATCACTGCAAGTTCGAGACCAGTGTGGGCTATAAAGTGAGCTCAAGGCCGGCCTGAAGTGTAGTAAGATTCTGCCTCAAAAACGCAAAATAATGTAAAACAAAACACTTTTCATCACTAATGGAAGTATATTTTATTGACATAAACTTCAAGAGTAATATTTGTAGTAGCAGATACTTCAATGTTTAAATATTTTGGGTTCATAGCTACAAGTTTTCTGCTACATTAGAGTAAGAGACATAAGCACAAAATAATTACCTTGAAAAATAGCTCAACTTTAGGTGGGTAAAACTTAAATCCTTCCTTGACGCCAGGATTTCTTTTGAGAAAAGAACCAGTTGCTATTCTTCTGCAAACCCATTCAATTGGAATCATTTCACACTGGGGTGCAATGAAAGCTGTCTCTCCACATTTTTTGGTGAAAGCAGTTTTGATACCTATACATTGATTGCAAAAGTTAAAAAGCATTGGAATTTTACTTAAGGTAGATAGGGGCACAATAAAACTGTACTTTTATAAGACACAAACCCAAAACCTCTAGCAAAAACAATTTTTTAACAGAGAAAATAGGAAAACAAAACAAAAGGTCTCATGCTAGACAAGTGCTCTACCACTATAATATACTCCCATGTCTTTTACTTTTTCTGATGCTACATATCAAATGTGGGCCTTGTGCATGCCAGGCAAACACTATACCAATGCGCTATACCTCTAGTCATCCAAGCCTCTTTTAATGTCTAAAACACATAATCCTTGAAAAAAAGGCATCCATCAGGTAGGAGCAAGGATGTAACAGCAGCTCTGTGGAACACCGAGGTGAGTATTTATCCTACTCCCTTTGCTTATGCAGATTGTTATTGAAAAACTAACGTAAGGCTCTAACTTGTATTGATACTTAGTTTGGAAGCTATTTGCAGCAGGTGTTTAGATACTTACATGCCAATGCCCAGAGGTATTAGAAAACACAAATACCAACAAATGTACAAAATGTAGCATAGATATATAATAGAATGGAGCTAGGCGTGGTGTGATGACTGTAATTCTAGCACTGAGGCAGGAGGATTGCAAATTTCAGTATAGTCTAGGTAACTTAGTGAGACCTTGTCCCAAATACAGAAAGGACTGGAGGTGTTGCTCAGTATGAAGATCTTGGACTTTATCCCCAATAAAATATAAACACACACAAATAGATACATTAATTTTATAAGATGGTATCAAAACTGCTTTCACCAAAAAATATGGACAGCTTTCATTGCACCCCAGTGTGAAATGATTCCAATTGAATAGTGGTGAATCTTCAAAACACTATGCTGGCTGGGGAGATAGCTCAGTAGAATAAGCACTTGCCTGGCAAGCACAAGGTCCTGAGTTCAATCCTCAGTTCTGCCAAAAAAAAAAAAAAAAAAAAAGACTAACTTTTAACCAGGGAGATGGCTCAGTGGAATAAGTGCTTGCCTGGCAAGTGCAAGGTTCTGAGTTTGATCCCTAGTACCACCAAAAACTATGCTAAGTGAAATAAACCGGAAAGTATTCCAAATACCTATCAGATACTTATAAAAGGAAAATTTGAGGAACAGAAAATAGAGGTTACTAGGGACCCCAGGAAAATGAAGAATGGATAATTATTGGGTAATAATTTTGTTTGGGGTGAAAATGTTTTAGAAATAAATAGTGGGATAAGTAAGCAAGTGACTTAAATCAATCCCTAACTAGGGACAGTTAGTACATCCTTGGCTTTATGAGATCTTATCTCTTAGGTGTATCATATCTGCTCATTTGCCTATCATGCTTGAAAGACTAGTATCCTATTGTTTAAATATAAACAAGAACTCAGGGAGCACTGAGCCTAGTATCTGGCCCTTTCAGTTTTTTTTTTTTTGCGGAACCGGAGATTGAACTCAGGCCCTTGGGCTTGCCAGGCAAGCACTCATTCTACTGAGCTATCTCCCTGGCCCCTAGCCCTTCCTTTCAGTTTTATTCCTAAAATAGGATCTTTAAGAGGAACCAAACTTATAATCAAATTATGGTAATGATTTTCTGGGAGGTAGCAATGATTAAACTTAGCACCTCTGTGATGAGCTGTACCCCTGGCCAAAACTCAATTCCTATTAAGGTTGGTTTTAGGGAGACTGCATGTATTTATTAGCACTTAAAGACTCTATGCAGCTTGATGGAATTCTTAATCTATCTCCTAAAACTAAACTGTTCGGAATTCTTTTTTAGAAATTTTATATATAACTGTATAGCATTTATTAGAGCTGCTCAAAAACATGATAGGCTTGGAGAAGAAAGCTGCAAAGGGAATACTTGAGAAAGGCTGGAGCCATTGCAGTTACTTCAAGACCAAGTAAAATGTTACACTGGGGTATGACTTGATTTTAATTATCTGAGTTTGCTAGCTGTTAATCCAAATAACAACATCTCTCCATAAAAGTGGTCAGATATGCAGGAAAGAGGACGAGGAGTCTGAGGGTAAGCTACTTACCTGCTTCCTGTAACAACTGGAAAACACAACTGGTAATCTTGTTGGAGATGGCGGCTTTCCCTTCCAGGTGATTCTTTCTGGCTGCATTTCCGGCTGTGATCTGGTCCTTGGACTGCAGCAGGACTTTCCCTGGGCTGTCTAGCAACTCATAGACTTCTTTTGTTTTTCCCTCATAGAGCTTTTTGCCAACGTTCAACACTGGACAAGTAAAACAGAGCTGTACTATATTTCAGGAAGAAATTTTCCCCAGGACTGAAGAGTAAATCAGCTAAAATGATGACTCACACAATTAAGTAATAATAAAAATTAAATCATCTGCATAAAACACTCAAGCTATTTTCTCACTCATATAGTTTTATGAAAAATTAAATCAGGAAACTAAGAATCAAAAAGATTGAGGTCATACAGCTACAAATACTAAATCTGATAGCACTTTCCACTATTCATGTTTTTCTAACTGCTGAAATGAGATAGAATTTAATTTAGCCTGCTTGCATCCAACACCCCCTCCCCCATTAACCTTTTCTGTTCATTTAACACTGAAAACTGAAAAAAATGAGCACAGACTTATCTAAGACTTGCAGAAACTGCTATTTGCACTCTCACAAAGATCTGAGAGGCGGAGCTTGTGCAGTACTATAAATGGGTGGGCAGGGGCTGTAAACACAGGCTCACTCAGCTTGCTTATCACCAAATTCCTAAGAGGCCACACACTTTTGGTCCATGGCCCAGGGATTAGGAACCCCTTCTTTAAATTACCCAGAGAATGAGGTGGCACTTAATCCCCTTCTTACAAGGCAGTTTTCATGTAATTATAGCCACTTTCAGTTTATAAACAGTCACTATTTTGCAAAGCCTCAACACACTACTCAAGGGTAATTAAATTTGTGTCTTCTAGATTGCAATCCTAATTAGCTCCAGGTAAATGTAATCTTTCTTCTCAAACAGGCTGTTTTACTCTTGGCTCATAGTAGTTGCAATCTAGTATAATAGTTGCCATTATAAGGCATTTAATTTAGAGCACACATCCCTATCTTCCTAATTGGCTGTCTAGACTCACTAACCAGGTTTAAAAAGCTCCAGGATCTAGTCTCAACTTAGTGCTTCAAACACTTATTTGTTTCCTTTCTACAATTCCACTTTCCTTAATTTTTTATGTTTTTCAGGCTGGACATACTGTTCCCTTCCTGCCCATCTCATTTCTCATCCTTCAGGCCTCATAAATCATGTTGATTGAGTTTAGACTTTATCCTAAAAGCAACAATGGAGCTTTTGAGCACTGATGTAAAATAGTAAGATCTGTATTTTAGATCAGGATGGTGACTGTGGCAAGTGAGATAGAGGTGGATGGAAGGAACAAAACCAAAATCTGGGAGACCAATTCAGGATGCTACAGGGTGTTCAGGGTCTCATCACTAGATTGGACTTTTAGTGATCTGCCTGTTTACAGCCTCCCAAGAGCTGGGACTACAGGCACACACCACTGTGCCCAGTCTCAACTGCTGCCTCAGCGCGGGTCAGGGCCAGCACTCATGTGGTTCTGGTCTGTGTGAAGACCTTTTAAACATGGAAGAACAACCAATTCATTATTTTCTTTCTCTGATTTTTTGAGACAAGGTCTTGATAAACTGCCCAAGCTGATCCTCTATAAGTAAAAATAAAACCTAAGATGGTTATACTTTGGTTCAGGCTGTGTTGGTGGTGTGTTCCTGTGGACATTAAGTCCAAGTCAGCAAAAATTTGGCACACATGCACCTTGTTGGTCTCTGCACAAATAACAGACATAACTAAGGTTGAGGGTGGCTGGTATAAACAACCTAATAACCAAGATCGTTATGGGCACATCACCACTATTGGGCTGCTGCAAGAACTGGGGGTGGGGCCTGGGGACCACCATGTAAGTTTGAGCCGCTGAGCCCAGCAGCTGAGAATAAAGTCATGTTCAGAAATTTTTTCTTCTCCTCCTCCTCCTCTTTTTTTTTTTTTTGGCAGAACTGGGTATTGAACTCAGGCCCTTGTGCTTGCCAAGGAAACACTTATTCTACTGAGCCATCTCCCCAGGCCCTACATTCAGAAATTTCAATGATTCTTTGTCTCATCTTCAGGTCACCAGCCTCTAAAGTGAACCTTCCCAGTCTAAAGTGACAAGACACTCTCCTGTCTTGGACTCCTAAGTAATGGGACTACAGGCTGGTGCCACTGTGTGCTGCAAAAGCTGATTTATCCTCTATAAGTGAAGGATAAAAGAGGCAAGAGTCAGGAATGGTGCCAGAGTGCTGAAACATTTAAATATACTAAAATAGAGCAAGCAAAATTTGTAACTTCTGCTTCTCTTTTTGCGGAATTGTTGTACCTATGCATCACATAGGGTGCATAGGCACAAAAAACAAACATAAGAGATATACATCAAAATGATATACAATTACAAATGAACTCAAAAGAGATTGATAAGGACTGGTTCATGGAACCTAAAGTTAAGCCTTGAAAAGTAATAATTTCCAGACAAAAGTTAATATTTTAAAGAGATTGTGGCCAGGAGAAACAGCTCAGGGGCATAAAGCGCCCGCCTGATAAGCCCAAGGCCCAGTGTTAGATTCCCGGTACTGCAAGGAAAAAAAAAAAAAAAAAAGACTGTGCTGTCTAAAAGGTATCCATTAAATACATGTGGCTATGAATACGAACCATATTCAATGTGATAGTAAAGAACAGAAGCTAATTTTGAGGAAATGTTTTGTGGAAACTACAGAAATGACATTAAAAAAATTAAATCAAGGTGAAATCTTGAAAGATTCTAGAGAGTTTTACCAGTTTAGAGGTACAGTACCCTGACTACAGAAAAAGTTCTGGCCTTGATGTTGCGGAGTATAACCTAAAACTTTGCGTTGAATCTGAAACTTTAAAAACTAAACACAGGGTCTCTTTCTATATGGAAAGTAATGCAATGGTTTGGTTTATTACATCTAGAAATTGCTGTGGCTGGAACCAATGTTTCATCAGCATACCTAGAAGAACGTACTTCATGGAAGACCTGACCACTCAGGGTCACAAAATGACTACTCAATTCTGCTAACTATCACGACAAAGTAAACCAAGGTTGCCAGGACAGTTTAGGAGTGCGAGCCACAATTGCATCAAAAAGTTTTTAAAAACTAAGTTCAAACTATGAAAAAACCGAGGAAGACTCTGCAAAAACTAATTTATCTTATGGAAAAGCAAGGTAATTCTGCAGAAAAGGTAAGCGTTAGAAGGGTCAACAATAGATTTCCATTATGTAATTGCTTCGAGGCCTGAACTTTCTGGCCTGCGCAATCTCTCCCCCTAGGTACCCCTTCACTCCGCTCCTCACCCGTCCCGGAGTAGTTGTGGGTTTATCACAGGGTTTGAGAGCTCCGGGTGCTGGGTGTCCCGGGCACGTCCCGCAGCCCCGGGGCCATGTGCTCACCCCACCCCGGGCCTACCCGCACTCCATCCCGAGGACCCAGGCCTGCGCGTTCTGCGCCGAACCCCGAAGAAAGGCGTGGGGCGCGAGAGTCCGCGCAGGCCGGGCGCGTGACTCACCCTCTGCTGTCGCCATAATCCCGAACAGGCTGAAGGAAGAGACCACGCTGGAAATCTAGGCTGAAACCTAGAAAATAGCGCGCGGAGAGGTCCGCGGGCCAGAGCGGGGCGGGGCGGCGCGGGCACGCCCCCACGTACCCCAGCGAAGTCACGTAGGGCTCCTGGCCCAACGAAAGGGGGCGTGGGAGCGAGGCCCGACTCGGGGAGGGGCGCTGTCCCCCCAGGCTCCCCGCCGCGCAGGCGCGACCCCGCCCCCGGCCCGTCCGTCGGGCGCCACTCCAGGAAAGGAGAAAAGTGGCGCGCACTGGCGGCCCCTCCCTGCCCGGCAGAGCCCGGGGGTCCCTTTTCGTCAGCAAGAGCAGCTCCTGTGATGGAGCATACCAAGTCTGGCTGGGGGGGAAGCAGGACGGGGTGGGGACGTGTAAAATTTACACCTTCTAAGAGAAATGTCATTACTCTCATCTCTCAGTCTTGGATGTTGGAAAATAACGGAGGTTTCCACGTGCAGAAAAATTAGCCTTCCGGGTGTGTGTGGGAGGGAAGGATCTAGCTCCACCTCTATAAAGTATGCGGCTCCTCCCCTCTTCCGCCGCTCTCCCTCTGTGGGGGGCCCCGGGAGGCGGGGCGGGGCAAGCGGGCCACGCCCACTAGGGCAAGCGCGCCGCCGCAGTAGCTGTTGTCGAGCCGCGGGGAAGGAAGAGGCTGTCTCTGGTCCCAGTTTCGCTGGCGTAGGGACCGAGCCAGCAGCTGGTTGGTGCTTGGACCTCTGCCACGGCGGGCGGTTCCTCCACGTGCTTTCGGCGGCGACATGGAGCTGGAGGAATCGGGCTTTCGAGAGGCATGTGGCGTGTTCGGGTGCATCGCTTCTGGAGAGTGGCCCACGCAGCTGGATGTGCCGTATGTGATCAATCTAGGACTCGTGGGGCTGCAGCACCGGTGAGCAACAGGGTGAGGGCTGGAAATGGGGTGTGGGGCAAGGGCCTCTGCATCTCCGCCAGTCGCCTCCCGCGTGCAGTGTTGGGAGTCTCAGGAGCTCCCGGGAACCTGGAGGAGGGAGGTCTGTTACACAGACCTGTACCTGCTTAAGGCATGGTTGGGGGGGAGGGATTTTGCCGCCGTGAATTTAGTCCGTGTTGCTCACGCTTCCTGTCCCCGTTGCCCTTTAGGGACGCCACCACTCAGTCACCCCCTCCAAAACTGTGAACCTCTCCTGAGTCTGGCCAGTCTGTTGGGCTTGGGTTTGCTTGGACTAGCCAGATCAGGGAGGAGCCGACTCTAATCGCCCAAGCCTCGAGCTGTTCTTGTTACAGGCTTGTGTAGGGGTGGCGGCTGGTCCCAGTCCAGCTACACCTTGAGGTTTTCGCGCGGTGTCTCCGTCCAGCACAAGCTTTTGTTTGCAGAGCTATGAGCAGCTTGTGACTGACTTTGGAAGTAGTTACAGCTATGGGAACTGGAGGATCCTAAAGTTAAAACCCTGGAAAGCAGGATTAATTGATGTTCCAAAGGAACTACCATAGATCTCCTAAATTAAACCAAAACCATCACGGAATAGATTGATAGTTAAACATTTTAAATGATAAATGGTAGAGAACTTTGGTAGTAAGAGGTCAAAACTTAACTCCCTTCTTTAAAAGGGAAAAAAGGGAATGCCGTGTTTTTATTAAGATACACATTGATTTGGAAAAATTGGACATCCTTTGGAGATCAGAAATAGCAAACAAACAAAAAAACCCCACTTTACTCCCATGATCTATTTCTTTCTACCTTCTCTAACTGGAAGTTGATACAAATTACTTGGTTGGGATAAGAACCACAAGCCTGCTTTTGGCATTATTGAAGTATTGCAAAGTTTCTAAGGGCAACATAGTGGGCAAGAACATCTAGAACAGCTGAAGAACTTGGCAGTAACAGTAAGATGGGTGCAACTTGTATAACTGTACTCAACTGATTAGCTCTCCTAGCTCTCCTTCAGTGAAGTAATTTTTTTCTTTCAGAACCTCAAATACTTTAATATGAGTTTTAAGTAACTCAATCTGGGATGAATCCAAATAAAAAAATTTTTTTTCTTTTTTTTTGAGACAGGATCTTACGATGAAATTCAAGCTGGCCTCAAACTCAAAAGTGATCCTCTCAACTTGGCCTCCCTAGTGCTGGGATTATAGGCATGTGCCACCACCACACCCAGCCAAGAAGTATTTTACATTTGGATGCTCTTGAATTATTGTGTGTTGACTAATGGATTTCTCATTTCAAAAATTATTGCTGTATTATATCATAAGATCAAGGAGAAGTTAAATGCTGATTAGGTCATATATCTGAGCAGTGTTACAGTTTAGATCAGTGATGGTGAACCTTTTAGACCTTTCAATCATAGCCAAATAACAGCTCAATGCAGCACATGTCCTTTAGGTGCCCCACCACTGGCTTACGATCATTCTTAAATTTATTTTTAATATTCTTTTAGTGGGGAAGGAATGAACCTAGGGATCTTTAGAGTTACCAACTAGGAAATAGATGAGCTTTTGCTGGGCATGGTGGTACATACCTATAATCCCAGCACTTGGGAGACTGAGGCACGATTGTCATTGTGAGTTGGAGACCAGCATGGGCCACAAAGTGAGCTTAAGGTCAGCCTGAGCTGCTTAGTGAGACCTTGGCTCAAAGAGACAGTTGCTTAGTAAGTTCTTTTCATACTGATTTCTCTTCCCCTTTAAATATGTGTCTGAAGAAAAGGGGGTAATTTATTACTTAGATACTGCCACATAATTGCAATTCTAACACTGTAGGGAAATACTTTTATACTTGACTATAGTGTTTCTGTTTTTAAGTTGAATACATCTTAATTCCTAATTGTATGTACCTATTTTGTACAGTTGGTTTTCTGTGAAAGGATTATGAAGTTAGATAGTGCAAGATGGGTAATAGGATTGTGTGATAGTAAAACAATATTAAGTATAGGATTATGTGATAGTGAAACAGGATTCTATGAAGGTGATCATTTGACTAAACAAGTATTTGTTAGGAGACTGGTGTTCAAAACCGATCTCTGATACTTCAATTTGTTTTCAGCAACACTGGCAAAATAACACAGTAGTTTCTTGGAAACAAATGCCTTGGAAAATGATTTAAGATTTTACTAGTGTAGGTGTGGAGTCATTAAGGTAAATCAAGATGGGGGCTGGTTCTTGTTCCTGATCCTACTCAGTTTAACACTTTCAGTAAGTCTTTCCCCATTGGGAGAAATAACTTGAATTTGAAAATTACTTAAACTCTCGTATGTCTAGAAGACGTAATCGTTGCAGTAAAACCAGAGGTAAGGGCTAGTGGAAGATTGAGAAGTAATTGGGGCTAGGGGATGAGTATAGGAGGTTGAACCAAGAGCTTCACCTGCTAAGAACACATTCTACTGAACTGCACCCCTAACCCTAAGAATTAATGTACTGTATGTGGCGCTGAGTGAAGGAATGTTAAATCTGGAATCTTGGATAGATTCTTATAGCTTAAGCTGCGGTGAAATTAGTTATAGCCACACTAACCTGTTACAGATCACGGTCTGTTGCAGAAGGTTCCATTTCTACCTTTCCAATGCATTTCATTGAATGGTTAGCATTCAAATAACAGCTGAAACTTTGACTTTTCCACATTGTTGAAGGAATTTATCTTGTGTTGTTAACACAGAATCTTTCAGAAAATGAGTGTTCTATTACTTTTGCATTCTCTTTTTTGCTGTAGGCATGATCCTGATCTGAAAAATTTAGTCTGAGAGATAAGCAAATATCTGGAAGTTACAATATATGTGCCTTATATGGCAATCAGTTACTACATAAGGCAATCAGTTACTAAGCAGCCGTGTACTGGATATTGAATCCAGATGGGTTCATCCCATCTGTAATTCTTTTAAATAATTGTAGTGGCTGTTTGTGCTTTATTCCATAATTCTCATTTCCACTAAAGGAGATTTTAGCTCCTTCATTGTAAATTTTCTGTGGATGTGTACAAATGTGTTCCTACCAGATTCGTGTAATCACCAACTGCTTGTTTTGGTTCTAAAAGTATCAGTTTAGTAGTTTGTAAGTTCCGCACAAGCCAGACATTCTCTTGTACACCAGACATTTCCATATTGAAACCACAGTTGTATTATATGGAGAACAGAATGGCCTGTACATACAGTATTTGAAAATTTCATAAAAGGGTTTACTTAAATTTCATAAACTGGGGCTGGGGAGATGGCTTAGTGGAATAAGTACTTCCCTGGCAAGTGCAAGGGCCTGAGTTCAATCCCCGGTTCCGCAAAAAAAAAAAGTTAAAAAAAAATTTTTTTTTCATAAACTTTTCCCATGAGTCACTTGCTTAGGCCCTGTCGGATACTATGGTTTGTATGTGTTTTATCTGTTGGAAACGTGACCTTACTGTGGCAGTGTTGAGGTGATAGGATGAGGTGGGGCTTAGATGAAGGCATTTGGGGAAGCTAAGGCTTTCCAGTTGTGGACTCTGTGTGTGTGTGTGTGTGTGTGTGTGTGTGTGTGTGTTTGAGACAGGGTCTTCCTATGCAGTTCACGCCAGCCTTGAACTCACCTTGTAACCCAGGCTGGTCTGGAACTCACACAGATTCTCCTCCCTCAGCCTCCCAAGTGCTGGGTTTACAGGCATGTGCCGCCATACCTGGCTTAGTTATGGACTTTTACCCTCCCAAGCTAAGCTACTTAATAAAGTACTTGGCCTCACATATTTCGTTACAGCAATGTGAAATGGAACGACAATTTCACACTTGGTTAGTTTGAGATGAGCATGTCCTTTAGTGACTTACCACTTCCCTAGGTAGGAATTAAATTTAACAACCAATGAACATTTTGATTTCCTCAAGGCATAACAGAACCAAAAGATTCTACTGAATGTTTCTTCAGACAACACACTGAACTTCATCAGGTAAATTTCATAACTTTTTAGAAGAGGACATGATAGTGGGATGCTCTCAAAAAACAACCCAAAAAACTACACTTGCTAATTATAGATAGAACTGGTTATGATAGAGACAAAGTGTTCATATGTTAATATGTAAAGAATACGCTCAAAAAGAATGAAAAGTATACTAAATGCATAAACCAGCAGCATAATTATTTATAGTTACTATTAAGTATTGCATACTGTATATAATTGTTGGTTCAATTTATCTCAATATGAGGGTCAAAAATTTTATCTTAATCCAATTTTGTTTGTTTGCTTAGTTGGGTTTTTTTTTTTTTTTTAATGAAACCATGGATTGAACTCAGGCCCTTGCACTTGCCAGGGGAGTGCTTATTCTACTGAGCCATCTCCCCAGCCCCTATCTTAATCGATTTTTGACCACTTTGTTCTAAAACTTGTAAGGCTGACTTGTTTCAATCCTTCATTAGGAGCCAGGGAGATAGGTCGGTAGAATAAGCGCCTGCCTGGCAAACGCAGGTTCCTGAGTTCAATCTCCGGTACAAAAAACAAACAAAAAACCTTCGTTAGACTTTCCGTTTGTGGTATTGGGGATAGAACTTTACCACTGTTCTACATTCTCAGCCTTATTTAAAGACAGGGTTGTTAAATTGCCAGGACTGGCCTTGAACTTGAGATCCTCCTTCCTCATCCTCCCAGTTAGTTGAGAACACAGGCATGCACCACCACACCCAGCACTAACTTCTTTTTAACAAGTATAAATAGGGCTCCTCCTGTAACATGGTCTCTACCAACCTAGGTATAATAGGGAAGCACTTAGGGTAATACACAGTGGAGATCTACCATACATCCACTTATAAGAACATATAGTATACATTTTATTCCCATTTCCCAGTATCTAGTATACATTTTGGTCTTTATTTATGCTTGAGACATTTGTAACTAAATGGATGCACCTAGAGACTATGCTCTTAGGTGAGATCTGGCACACATGTTTAAATAAAATGTAAGAA